TGATTGGCAGCATGCACCGTTCGGCTGAAGATTTTCCAACATGTTCATTCGGCAAAAGTCAATTGACTTCTGGCTTTGGAAAAGGGTACACACCTGCAGAATCAGCCAAAATCCACTCTGTCTATACCCTACTTAAAGCTGGGGATCCATGGCTAGAATTTCATTCATAAATTATTGATTTTCCCATAGTAGGGTGCAAGCCATGATTGTTTTGATCGTAGTGGATGAGGATGGATAATTTTTCTTAAACTAACGAAATTCTGACAGTGATTGTGGTTTTCATTTGGGAAACTACATTCATTCCAAAATCAAATGTTAAGACCAGGCGTAACTACAGATCACGGGACCCCATAGCGACAATGTGATGCGGTGTGTGACCGACGACACCAAGATCCCAAAGACTCCTCTTGTGCATCTGATGTCAGCTTTCCTACACTGTCCACACCATATGCAGTGCGTTCCAACGCTGGAACGCACTGTATCGCACCCCGGCCGGCTCTTGCTGCAAGCACTATTGTTTCTGATCGCACTGGACTGATGTGCCACACGTTCTGGTGCGGGCAATCGCTCTGCGAGGGGGGGCGTGGCTATGGTGCCATCATGCCCCCTCCCACCCCAGAATGCAGGGAGCCCGCCGGGATGTGATACAGTGCGTTCTGGCAGCGACTTGTGCTGGAACGCACTGTGTATGGTGTGAACAAACTCTTAGGGTTGTCATATACTGCAACCACTCCAACCCTTAACGATACAGTACTGTATAAGGCCTCATTCACATTGATAAGAGCCGGCCCGTACAGATGTGACAGACATGCACGGCCATATATGGCCGCACCCGGGACGGAAAGGAGCTCCGTGTGATTGCACGCAGCAGCCTGTTCTTCTCTATGGGAGTACGCGGCCGTATGCTCACCCGAACTGCACATCCGTGCAGGTGTCAGTGCTCGGATGCAGACAGAATCCATCCTCTCTTCGTACGGGTACGGGCACCCGCACCCGCTCGAATGTGCAGTTGGGGTGAGTGTAAGGCCGTGTACTCCCATAGAGAAGACAGGCTGCTGTGTGCAATCACACGCAGAACCTGTCCTTCCCGCGAGCGATATGGCCGAGCACGCCGTACGGATCTGTATGGCCAGCTCTTATCATTGTGAATAAGGTCTTATGTTCACATGTTCTATGTTTAATTTTTCTCAACAACCAAATGGGCCCCCTTTATACCTTCAGACCCCATAGCAGCTGTCTGGGATGCTATGACTACAGTTACGTCACTGGTTAAGACCAAATGAGATTTCAAACAACACTCTTCACGTCTCTGGTGATATACACAACTTTAAAACAACAATTATCAGTCAGCAAAACAAATGAACATTTATCAGTGCCAAGAAAAAAATTCAGGATGGCATCTTAATTGTGGAAAACTTGACGGTACATTTCCAATCTTTTTCTTTTGATTGGAATATATTTATGAAGCAGTCCTACAAGTCCATCCAAAATTCTGGAAGATAAAGTTGAACTTAGAGCTGCCTACAGATGCTGGATGGTGGTGGACAGTGGTTCTATATCTTTTCAGTTGCTGTCTAATTCAATTCCCTTGTGTGGACCAAATAGGACAAATCATGGACGAACATTGTTGTGGTTAATAAACGGATCATTTTGCCCATAATTGTATTTATTCTGCAAGCCTGATTTCTATTATGATGCAGAGACAATATATAGATTCAAGCTCATATTAATATATTTATTAATTCAATGTCCAGCAATACAGAATACCCATTATGAACATCACATATTGTTGGAGACTTGGTTTTACCTAATTATAGAATGTGTCCCAAGTGGCTCATTCTTTGAATCTGCATAATGGCTAGAAGCCATTATACCTACCCTAAACCCTCAACAATTGAATTCCACTGTAGTGATGAAAAAAAATCCAGAATGGAAACAAAGAAAATTCTAAGAGTGATATTTTTTTTTTTTTTGGGATGAGACACTGCATTCATTCAAATGCCCACCTGAGATCCCCTGCTGGAAACAGGGGCAGCAGCACGGAGTACGTGGCTTCATAGTATTCTACATTACTGTATAATGTATTGCTGGGATTCGTAGTCCTCTATAGCCGGTGGTATTCTGCATTGCTGTATAATGTATTGCTGGGATTCGTAGTCCTCTATAGCCGGTGGTATTCTGCATTGCTGTATAATGTATTGCTGGGATTCGTAGTCCTCTATAGCCGGTGGTATTCTGCATTGCTGTATAATGTATTGCTGGGATTCGTAGTCCTCTATAGCCGGTTGCCATTCGGCATTACTATATAATGTATTGCTGGGATTCGTAATCCTCTATAGCCGCTTGCCATTCGGCATTACTGTATAATGTATTGCCGGGAGGCTGGTGGTATTTTCATTATAATCTATTGCTTGGACTTTTAGTCCTGCATAGCTGGTGGTATTCTGCTGCATTGCTGTATAATGATTATACAGCAATGCAGAATAGCACCAACTATGTAGGACTACAAGTCCCAGCAATACATTATATTATTAAGTAGGAACGCACCAGTGCCAATACTGGGCATTTTCACAAGCAATCGTACTCATGAAAATGCCCCGATGCTAAGCGCAGATACCGGTGTTCTGTTGAGAACGCAGACCTAGTCGAATTTGATGACTTCAGCACTATTATCGGGGAAGCCGGGATTTATTGACAAAGTATTTAAAGTAAAGTTTGAATCGTAAATTGTGACCGTTCATAGTATGCCATCCATCATTTACCACGGATGGCATATTATTAACAGTCACAATTAACGATAACACACTAATACTTTGTAAATAAATCCCGGTTTTCCCGTTAATCCCATCTGTACGCAAGTGCAGATACTGGGTCAGCGTTCTCGACAGAACACCGGCACTACATTTTTAAACTGAAGCAGCTGCCTGAGGTCCCGGCATGTTGGCAGCCTTCCTCGTAACCACATGGTGCCATGGCGATGGGGGGTTGGGGGGGCCCTTCATGGTTTCTTGCACCGGGGCCTTGAAGGTTCTAGTTACGCCACTGCCCACAGTGTTAAAAATGTCCACTTGTATTCTTTGTCAGGAACTGTATAACAGGGTGACAACTCAGGGGCACAATATGGAGACAGGGACAGAGAGTTGTCACCCTGTAACAGGAAGTGTCTGAACAAGGACCTTCACAACAGAATCACTAAGTATTTTTCATTAAAATTAGTAGATTTAAAAATATTGAAAATTACTTTTAAAATGACATTACATGGTAACACGTGTATGAGATTTTAGTGATTGGGTTTATAGAAACATAGAGGAGTGTCAGCAGAAAGAGACCGAGTGATCCATCCAGTCTGCCCCGTGTTTTCTTTTCGCTTTATTCAATGTTTTTTTTTAACTTGTTGTTTGAGTAAGAATCTCTGTTTGTCCCAAACATGTTTAAATCCGCTCAGCCCGTATTCACACCTGCACATCCTGGGAACACCCGCCATGTTCACAAGCGCTCATACGTGTTTGTGTGCTGCATTTACTCGTGCTCGCCCAAACGCTCCGATACTTACCCCCGATACTGGAACCTCCGGGCAGGGGGAAATTTCCTCTGACCGGCAGTGCCGCGAGGGCACAAGGAGCCAGCAGCGGCTTCCTGATTGGCCGTAAAGCCGGCTCCATGCTGTTTGGCCGGCTCAATGCTGAATGGCCAGGAAGCCCGCCGGGAAGCCACCCAGCTTCCTGATTGTCTGGAAAGCTGGCTTCCCAGCCAATCAGCATTGAGCCGGCCAAACAGCAGGGAGACGGCTTACTGATTGGCCGGCCAGTCGGCTCTATGCTCCCGGAAGTACCGTTATTGGTATTCGGTATCGGCGAATCCCTAAGTAAAATAATACTTTTTATGGTTAGTTTAGAACTTTCCTCCTGCCACTTTGAGGTCATGTCCTGTGTTCTTCACACCCTTTATGACAAACTCTGGCCCTCCAGCTGTTGTGGAACTACAAATCCCATGAGGCATTGCAAGATTCTCACAGGCATGACTCCCAGGGACCAATGCATGATGGGATTTGCAGTTTCACTCCCGCTGTAGGGAAGGAGTTTGCCCACTCCTGCACCATACCCCACACTGTCTTTCTTTTTACGTTTAACAACATATCAGTCCATTCCGAATGGCATTCGGACATAATTCGGATGCAGATACATTTTCGTTATCAAAAATTTGGATATGTTTTCCGAATTTCGGAATTTGCAGATTTTCGTTGAATGCACCAGTCTATGCAACACCCATATTTAGGTGTACTTATCTGAATCATGGGATGCGTCCCATGCATTGTGAATGGAATGCACAGGAATTGGTAGATCTCAATGGAGCAGAGGTGTCACCATGCTTGTAGTCCATTGATTATTTCCTCCAACCCCGTATCCATAGATCCTTCCTCTGTACAGACCTGGGGCTAGGGGGAAGAGGAACCTTTACAATACACCCACCATCCACTGATCACTGATTGCACACAATTAATACAAGAACATTTGTCTCTTGTCAGTGTGCGAGCATGTGTTCTTTTTTTTTCTTCTCAAAAGTGCCTTTAAGAATGTCATGTCAGGGGCCGGGCTGTAGTATTAGTTGTGGGCGGGGTTCGCTCTTAGTTTGGCTCCTCCCCGGCGGCATGTGATGTGAGCTCCGCCCTCTCCTGTGGGCAGTGGGCGGGGCGTGTGAGAGCTCCTGTGCCCGGGTATATAGTGCGGTCCCGGGACACAACATGCAGTTTGCGGGCACCCAGCTCTGTAGCCTCCATCCTCTGGACATCGCGCTCAGCTTGTCATTGATCGGACAGAACGAGCCGGGCACACAGCACAGCTGACGGGACATGGATAGAGGCTTCGGGAGTTTCAGCCTCGCTCTCATCGTGCGCTAACTTCACAGCTGGAGCAAGTTCCTGCGGACACTGTGACATCCCTGCAGCGCTCAATCGTCATCCCAATCCTCGGGCTCTGGAGGGGATACACTGCGGCAGGAACATGAATATAGTGTTGGAGTTCTTCGTGGTCACTTTTAAGGTCCTGTGGGCCTTCGTGGTGGCCGGAGCCAAGTGGCTGGTGCGCCCCAAGGAGAAGAGTGTGGCTGGCCAGGTGTGTCTGATCACCGGGGCTGGCAGCGGGCTCGGCCGCCTGTTCGCTCTGGAGTTCGCAAGGCGCCGAGCTCAGCTCGTACTGTGGGACATCAACACGGAGAGCAACGAGGAGACGGCGGGCATGGTGCGCCAGATCTACCGGGAGCTGGAAGCCGAGGACGCCCTGCGGGGTGAGTGAACCTGCCAGGAGAGTCCATACATCGACACCTAGCACTGTGCCAGGGATCCGGCATTGCCAATGATCATATCCTACCATTGCCTGGGCTGTGCCAGGGATCCAGCATTGCCCTGGCTGTGCCAGGGATCAGATGCTGACATTGCCCGGGCTGTGCCAGTGATCCTGACATTGCCCTGGCTGTGCCCATGATCAGATCCTGACATTGCCCTGGCTGTGCCCATGATCAGATCCTGACATTGCCCTGGCTGTGCCCATGATCAGATCCTGACATTGCCCTGGCTGTGCCAGAGGTCCAGCATTGGCCTGGCAACATTGCCCTGGCTGTGCCCATGATCAGATCCTGACATTGCCCTGGCTGTGCCCATGATCAGATCCTGACATTGCCCTGGCTGTGCCAGAGGTCCAGCATTGGCCTGGCTGTTCCAGTGATCATATACTAACATTGCCTGGGCTGTGCCAATGATCAGATCCTGACATTGCCCTGGCTGTGCCGATGATCAGATCCCAGCATTGAGATGAGATCCTGACATTGTCTGGTCAGATCTTGGCATTGTCGGGACTGTGCCAATGATCAGATCCTGACATTGTCCGAGATGTGCCAGAGATCCAGCATTGCCATGGCTGTGCCAATGATCAGATCCCAGCATTTGCCAGAGATGAGATCCTGACATTGTCTGGTCAGAAATCAGATCTCACCATTGTCGTGACTGTGCCAGGGATCAGATCCTGACATTGCCTGGGCTGTGCCAGTGATCCAGCATTGCCCTGGCTGTCCCAGTGATCAGATCCTGACATTGCCTGGGCTGTGCCAAAGATCCAGCATTGCCCTGGCTATGCCATTGATCAGATCTCAGCATTGCCCTGGCTATGCCATTGATCAGATCCCAGCAATATCTGCGTGCTGTTTACTAGTGACTTTTTACCAACTCTGCTAGACCTGACTGTGTGCCATCTGAACCCATCATGCATTACGTGCCATGACTTTCTTTTCACAATCTCTTTCTGCTGTCTAGATGTGATCAGGTAAGTGAAACTGCCTTTCCCCATCTCTTACATAGAGGGACAGATCATGGATAATATGACATTAAAGTACAGAATCTGGACCAGGAGTACTCTCCACTGAAATACTGCGTCCCCAACTTCCAGCTTTTAGGACTTGTACACTTTTTATATGCCTGGTTTAGTCCCTTCTATAATCCATTGCCTGACCTGAATGTTTAATGTACAAGCATGTCTTGTATTGTATAATACGCCGGATGATCCAGAATCCTTTCTGTAATTGATTGCAGGTCAGACTTCTATGTTACTGTATAGACTTGTCCCAAATGTCACTTATCTGCATCCTCTGAAATCGCTGTATGTGTGTGTATTGGGAAATTATTGTAGTGCTCAAGCTTTGTGAACACCATGTGGCGGTTTTTAGGAGTCCAGTATGTACATTTCCGTGGAAAATGCTAAAATGATTTGGCGTCGGCTGTATTTAAGTACATCCACTACCTGGCTTTAGTTATTTGCACCCCTTTTAGTGTTGATAAATAGCACAATTGATGAGGGATAAAGGAAAGTATATAGGGGGAAGAGACAGCTCGGTGTACATCTATTTGTATATGCGGAATGGGCTTTTCATATGTAAAGACTTGTAGACCAAAGAACACTTTTGTGTTGTAATTACTAGATTCTTGATCCAGTGTTAGTAAATCGGAGGTGTCCATTGAGTTGTCTGGAACGCCGGCATTCCTAAATGGTTAACCTTTTTTTTATATACAGTACAACATTCATTATTCGGCTGTGCCGGCACGTTACACAACACATTTGCCTCAAAGCTGTAAAACAGTTTTGGCTTCGTATTGTCTTATTTATGATCAAAGTACAGTCCCAGTTTGTTTTGGATGAGATCCCGTTCCCTTTTGCATAAATAAATGCCCTCTACATCTGTTATTAGTATAATGTTTAAAGCCGCACGTTTTTATAATGCTCGTGCCAGTCCAAATGACGTCAGCGGCACTGACTCGGTGAAACGAGCAGCGGTCTAGTAAAGTAAATAGTGTAGTAGCTTTGATGAATGAACATTTGTATAGAATTAAATCTGGACCTCTTTGTGTGCTGAATCTGTATTCTTTCTTATTAACAGCGGGCAATCCTGTTGAGGAAGAGGTGCTGCCGTGCTCCAATCTCCAGGTTTATACATACACTTGTGATGTAGGCAAGCGAGAGAACGTCTACACGACCGCTGAAAAGGTCCGACGGGAAGTAGGAGATGTCTTTCTGCTGCTCAATAATGCCGGTGTGGTCTCAGGACATCATCTCCTTGAGTGTCCAGATGAACTGATTGAAAGGACTATGATGGTTAATTGCCATGCACACTTCTGGGTAAGATTCCGTACCACATCTTCGTGCACTTTGTAATGGTTTTAACGTATATGTCCACTTTTACTCTCTCTTTTGTTTGTTCCAAAACTCCTTTCTAACAACTTCCACTATCATTACGCTATCAAACTGTAATAAACCTTCATCATTTAAGTTGGCCATACACTTATCAATTTTTTTTCATTCATTTCCTGCTGAATTGGCCAAAATCCAATCCGTAGGTGGCACTGCCGGCAGCTCCTGGTTCAACATAAGTTGATCGGCTTTTGTCAAAAGATCCAGATGGAAAATCATTGGCTTCAGTCACTTTTTAGCCAATCAGATGTAGTCACTGCTTTGGTATTCTGACAGCCGTGGGTACCAGCTTCGAGAATACAACAGATGGCGATTCCTCCATCCACACTGTTTAGCATGGATGGGGGAATTCAAAGATTTTTCTTGCTCCATGTGCGGGGCTGATCAAGAACAATCTTACAGTGTATGCTTAGAGGTCCGCTCTTTAAGGTGCACACCTAGGCGATTTATCACTTGGTTTGAGTCCTGCAAAACACAGATTCGCATTGAAGTCAATGGAGGCAGCTCACACGTTTGCGGTTTGTCGCGCAACCGGGATCACTAGTCGCGCGAAAGGGTGCAGGAGCGAGTTGTTGTTGTTGTTGTTGTTGTTGTTGTTGTTGTTGTTGTTGTTGTTGTTGTTGTTGTTGTTGTTGTTGTTGTTGTTGTTGTTGTTGTTGTTGTTGTTGTTGTTGTTGTTGTTGTTGTTGTTGTTGTTGTTGTTGTTGTTGTTGTTGTTGTTGTTGTTGTTGTTGTTGTTGTTGTCTACTAGTCATCTCTTCTTCTAGTCATCTCTTCTTCTAGTCATCTCTTCTTCTAGTCATCTCTTCTTCTAGTCATCTCTTCTTCTAGTCATCTCCTCTTCTAGTCATCTCCTCTTCTAGTCATCTCCTCTTCTAGTCATCTCCTCTTCTAGTCATCTCCTCTTCTAGTCATCTCCTCTTCTAGTCATCTCCTCTTCTAGTCATCTCCTCTTCTAGTCATCTCCTCTTCTAGTCATCTCCTCTTCTAGTCATCTCCTCTTCTAGTCATCTCCTCTTCTAGTCATCTCCTCTTCTAGTCATCTCCTCTTCTAGTCATCCGCACAGTTTACAATGAACAGTCGCGCGATCGATAACGCGTGAAAACAGCTCAGCATCTGAATCGCCTAGGTGTAAACCTAACCTTAAGCAGAAGCAAAGCTATTAAAACGGGGCCCCGGGATCTTTTAGCCATAATGTACTAGTATGCACAGCACATTATGGTGGACTTGCCTGCCAAGCTGGTCATCCACCCTCTAATGCTGGGTGCACACCTGAGCGTATTTTTTCAGCTCGTTTTTTTCGTGTTTTTGAGCACGTTTTTTCCATTCAGTGAGATGCGTGTTTTGCTGGCGGTATGATTTTTTTTTTTCCTTTTTTTTTTTTCTCTATTGAAAAAAAAAAAAATTTTTGTCTGGATTCACCCAGCTGCGTGAGTGACAGCTGGCTCTGCCTAACTAGAGGAAGAGCCAGCTGTACCTGCCATCTCCCCCGTCCGTTCTGCCAATCAGCGCTGGAGGAGCGGGGAGGGGGGAATCCAGCCCCTCCCCTGTCACGGCAGAGCCGACCTGTGACAGTCTCATTGTCGCAGGTCGGCTAGAACTATGAGGTGAGTGAAAAGCACTGACCTCATAGTTCTCCTTTTAACCAGTTGACATCCGCGGTGTTAAACCCCCTTCCCATCCAGGCCATTTTTCAGTATTCAGCGATGCGGTACTTTGACTGACATTTATTCCGTCATGCAACGCTGTACTGAAACGAAAAAACTAGTACATATAGACGATCGGCGGGCTATGGAGCCGCCGATCGTCTATATGTGAAACACCCGGTAACGGGTGTTTGCATTGGTCGGGTCTTTTCTGCCCGTGCGCGCCTGCACAGAAAAAAAATGCCGCCTGGAGACGGCAACCCACCAATGCTGCAGTGCCGTCCGTCCATATTTTTACAACGGGCGGACAGCAAGTGGTTAAAGGTTGTAAACCAGTAGAGAACCGATCTATTATATCAATACTGCATTTTGCAAACATTTGAAGAAGTGCACTAAAATAAACGACTACTTTTTGGGCTGAGCTCATTTTCAATATTCATTCAGCCAAACTTGTCTCATGGTGATATTTGAATGCTGGGCTGTCATTATACTGCCCCCTGTGTTCATTGATGGTATTACATCCCTCCACCTGCTCGGAATAAGTAGATCCACCATCCTTTGGTTCAACCTGAACATCTTCCAGCCTTGTCCTTCTAGGAAATGGACGGTCTTGGCTTTACAAAGTGAGTTTATTCTCATTTTAATTGAGAGTAAAATTCTGTTAATCCACATCTTCTTTCATAGGAAGTGTTGGGTCAGTGGTTTTAATTGCGCTCTGTCATATGGAGGATCATTTAGAATGTCTGGTCGCTGAGTGCCAAGCTGTCCTTGAAACTTGGAGAGCTTGTCACTATTTCAGCACCACATTGTCTTTGTTCCACCTTTTTATAATGAATGAAAGCTGGTGACATCTATGGCTAGAAAAGGGCATATTGTCTGATTTTTCTGAGAATGTCAGGGGTTATTTTTGCTCCAATTACTTTTCTGGAAGGTTAAGAATAGAATACTACAGCTGGCTGCAAGCCTAACAGCCATTTACAAACTGAACAGTCAGTGAGATGAAGCTGTTCATAGTAGAGCTGCAGCTAACGATTATTTTCAAAATCGATTAGTTAGCCGATTATTAAGTTCGGTTAATCGGATAAACAATCAAATACATTTTTAAAAATGGCTCCAGTGATGGACTACTAGTTTGTATTGAGATTGCACTCCATCACAGGAGCAAGATTGGAGCGGTAGAAGTAAATAAAAAAGGAAAGAAAAAAAAATAGTGGTGTGCAATATAGTGAAAAGGAAAGTGTAAAATTATACAGCAATGAATGCAGAATGGTACCGACTATAGAGGACTACAAATCCCAGCAATAGTACATTATAGCTGGCGGTATTCTGCATTGCACTGTATAATGTACTGTTGCTGGGTTTTGTAGTCCTCTATAGCTGATGGTACATTGTGCTGTATATTATACATAGGAATACAAATCCCAGCAATACATTGTACACTGTATGTATAATGTACTATTGCTGGGATTTGTTGTACTCCTCTATAGCTTGTGGTATTCCACATTGCGCTGTATAATGTATTATTGCTGGGATTTGTAGTCCTCTATACAGCTCAGTGCAGAATATCACCAGCTATATAGGAGTACAACAAATCCCAGCAATAGTACATTATACATACAGTGTACAATGTATTGCTGGGATTTGTATTCCTATGTATAATATACAGCACAATGTACCATCAGCTATAGAGCAATACATTATAGAGCACCATGTGTGGGAAAGTGGAGGCTTAACTGAGCAGTCTTCCAGCAACTTGCTTCTGAGATCGGACCTATCAGCGGCTGTCATCCGCCCACACCTGCTCCTCCTTACTACATCTCCCCACGTCCCTGTGCCGATCGTGGATGTGGGCGGGCGGTGAGTGTGAGGCGGGGAGGAGGTGCGGCGTGAAGAGTGTGGATGCTGGCGGGTCTGGCAGCGGCGAGCGTGAGGTGAGGAGGAGGTGTGGCGCGCAGCGTGTGTGGAGCCGTGAACAGGGCCAACTGATCAGAAGCCGATTAATCGATTATTGAAAAAGTTGACAACTTTTTCAATAATCGATTATGTCGATTAGTTGTTGCAGCCCTAGTTCATAGTGAGCACACTGATCATCTGTAATCTAATTTTCTGTTCATTTTTGTACATGCAACACAGCGGTGACTAATGGTATTTTGCTTCTTCGTAGTTGTCATGAATTCAGGTTTAAAGTGCGTCTAAACCCAAGAACAAATGGTACATTTGTAAAATTGCAGCTTACCAGTTCTTGGACATGGTGGCCACATTAGTTTGTGTGTGGGAGGGGTTCTCTCCACTAGACCAAAGAGAAGTTTGGAGTCCAAAATCTTTCAATCACTTAACTGATGATAATACAAACAGTAGGTAGCCAATGCGTTTCAGGGGCTACAATTTCCACCTTCATTAGGACTGAATGGAAATAATAACGTTTTAGATGGCTTCTGAGCTGACTGCATTCAAAGGTGAAAAGACCAATTGGTCAGTAGTAATGCCAGCAAGGACAGCCAAAATGCTTTTGAATAAAGGAGGAAATTGAAGCCCCTGAAAGAGTTGGGTATCTACTGTTGTTTTTTATTATCATCAGTGAGTGATTAAAAGATTTTGGACTTCCCTTTGGTCTGGCGCTTTCATTCTACCCATAGCATTTGTATTTCTCAATTGGGGTCCTACCCCCTCCCCCTAGGGGAAGATAGGTTTTCATCAGGAGTGGCCAAATTAATATGGAATTCAAGAGCCAGTCTGTCCACTACAGGAGCCCGCAGGATTTTCTTAGGCGCCAGCTCTATAATGTCAACTAGAGAGAACCTCAAATGTTTGGCGTCAGCTGGAATTTTTAAAGAGCATTGGTGACCTGGCTCCTGGGATATTGCCAGTCCATAGACCAAACTGGGTTTCTTTCTCCATTTGCACAGCCAGAATGTGCTCAGACACAGTCCAGCAGCTGTTTTGATGGTGACAGATTAAAGTGTACATGTCACCGTTACAATTCTACATAATTTTTACACATCCATTTAACTGCAATATATTTTTGGTTTCAGCTCTGTTTTAAAAAGTGTGAACGGACACTGTCTAGGAACCGAGGCTGGAGTTTAGCTGGATGCTTTGGATCTCCAGCTAAATTACTTGCTTTGGTTTGGATAGAAGGCGAAGGGTCTGAACCTGTAAAGGATGGACACCGGCACTCCAAACAAGTGTTGCCTGATGAAGGGGATCCTGTGAGACCCCCGAAACGTTGTATCTTGTGTTTTGCATTTGCAACAAGTACGTGAATAAATAGACGTACTGGA